CGAGCATGTTTGGTGGGATGGGGTTGCGAACCCGCAACCCGCAGATTGCGAGTCGAGCATGCTTCAGAATTACTATTCCATTATCTATAGTTCATATAATATAAAATTTATGAACAATTTTGCAATGCATGCAGTACACTGGAGTGACACTCGATTTAACATTGCTCACCAAAAGAATCATAAAATTAACAGTTATGTACCTTTGTTTGGTCAAGTAATTTCCTTTGATGTAGATTGTTGAATTATCTGTATTCACTTATTCATGCTATATGACAAACCTAATTTACTGTATGACAGAGTATGGGATATTTTTTTATTATTATATATCATCTGTAAGCAAACCATTTTATTACAGACAGCAATGGATATTGCAGAAAAAAGATGATATTAAAAAACAAATAAATATTCTAGAAACAAACAAACATGGCAATATAATTTTTGGACATGGAAGTTGTGTAACAGTGTAACTAAAAACTCAACCTGTATATATAAAAAAAAAACCTCAAAAATTATTATTTCCTCTTCACCCTTTTTTATGTGAAGTATAATTTGTATCAAAGGCAATACTTTCTAACATACAAGATTCTCCTTATTTTAATAAGTACAACAATTATATGAAGATAGTTTCATAACATTTACTCACTCCACTTATGTCTTGTAGACATTTTGATTAGATTTATTTTATTAAGTACGCAAGCACACACCGGTGAGTGATTGTTTGGAGACCACAGTTACTGAATTAAATAATTAATTTAGCACAGACATCTACTTGAGTAATTACAAAAGATGGAATTATACATAATTCGATATTATATCCCAAATATGAACTGGACTCAAAATTCTACAGGAGAAATGCTGGAGAAAGTCCACACATAAACATACATACTTATGAAGTATGTCATTTAATTTTTAAAACACAAAGTTCATGTGATAAGTAATTTTCAATATATAACAGTCCTTCACAATATACGTGAAAGCATCTTCTATGGAAATATTGTCAAGTAAATCCTTTTCTATACGCATAAACATTGTTGCCAGATGAAGGCTCCAGTAAGAAGACTGAAAGTTTGCAAATAAAGTATTTTAACATAGAGAAAAGTTTGTATATAATTAATTCTACACAAATGTCTCCAGTTTGTCACTGCTGAGTGAAAACCTCAGTCATATCTTGGGGGAAATGATCAGTAGGAACTCATAGGCCAGGAATAAGTTTGAAAATGCTGAAGCTAACAATAAGTATCTGTACAAAAGTTTTTGGCAACACATTAGGCAAATTTTACAGGATTCTGTGCATAAGCCTTTGGACTTGAAGGAAACTATTATCTATTCCGCTGTCATCATTGATCTCTGTCTCAGTCTTACCTATTTAAAACTCCTCTTTCAGTGACTTTCAAAGAGTTCCAAATATCTGGGTAAAACAAGTTAGTTTTGACGAACTCAAACCCATCAACCAACCAATTTGTTCCTGGTCTTTATCAGGAATAATACCTATAGAAAGCTCCATGAGCCACTAGGGATTGAAGCATGCTATTTCATTGATCATTTCTTGGTTGACAGAGAAGCATTCAGTAATGTTCACAATTATTTCCTCAATAACTCTTCAAAACCCTTAAGTCTGAAACTGCTGGAGTAGATCTTCTAGTCTGCAGTTCTGGGCTGTTCTGCAGGCACCCATTTATTTCTTGAAACTCTGTCTTCCTCAATTCTGACTCCACTACAACATCCAGCTCGGTCTCAACAAACAAATCATTGACAAAATGGATGCCCATGTTATCCATCTCATCAAATTTAATCTTTTGAAGTATGTCTTTAGCTTACTCCACCATGTTCCAAGCACTCAGGTAATCCAGACCTCTAGTCTGCAAATATTATAATGCATGTTGTAAAATACTGTATAAATAAAGGAGCAGGAAATACAATAGATATATTTCAAAATCACATCACTTTGCTAGTAACTCATTAGCTTCAAATAGTTTTGGCCCTAAACATTTGAAGACACCTTGATGTGCTGCAGATCTAAAACAAGGATATAAACAGATTTTCAAAAACCACTTGTTTTGACCACCATAGTGTTTCTCCTGTTTTTTGCAACTTTTTCAATTTTGATAATCCAACCCTTTGTTCTACAGATATATCTGTCCAAATGGTCATATGTATACAAGATTTCAAAAAGAAGGTGACTTTGAAGAAGTCTGATAAGGTTCTTGATGTCAATAATGTTTCCAACAATGTCGGTAGCTGTTATGTTGAGAAAATGTGCATAACACTAGATGTACATAAAACTTGGAGCCACTTCCTTGATGAACTTCTAAGTACCATTATGTTGATCATGCACGTTTGTGGCTCTGTCCAATAATTAACCAATTATATTCTCTGTTTGCAAGCAAATTGTTTCAAGGGCTGATTTTAGTGGTTAATATAGAGAAGAACCAACAGCATCAACAATTTTACTTACACTTAAAAGCCACTCCTTCACATCCTCCTGATTCACATAGAACCAAACTATCGTCTCCTGTTGTATAAGAGAAGTATCCTGACAGCCATGAATTTGCATAGAGAATTTCTAGTCTCCAATTTCATCAACAATTGTTGTATTCATGATGCAACAAATTGTGGTAAGTATCTTGTTTATAATTCATTTGGACAACATCGTTGTAAGACTCCATGCCCAAGCAAATTTTCAGTTCCCTTCCATTTCAAAGTTTCCTGTACCTTCTTCAAAGGCTATAATTGTTTTGTAAATGCACATATTCAACAGGACATCAAACTATATAAGTACAAGAATTAGCATCAGGTAGTTACCCAAGTCAACAAGTCTCTTTTCCAAGATTTGTTTCACTGTGATGTCCTCTAAGTGGTAATGCACCCATGAATTTCACAACTGCCAAAATTCTTTTCAATGTATCAGTATTTTCAAGAACATGATACTTTCAGAGATCAAACTTGTCTCTGTTTACCAAAAATTCTATCTTTCCGAAATTGAACAATGAAAAGTGCAGACAGCACACTGTTGTGTGACTTGGAAACTTCATGATCACCAACTTTGCTAAATATGAAAGTACTTTGTGAAACTCTCAGTAAAAGCTGAGTCACAGTTTTCAAATGCTAACAATGCAAAACAATATTAATAATGGAAGTATAATCATAAAAATTAAAAAGTAATGCCATTCAATATACTAAATAGTATAATGAATACTGTTAATGAAAATAAAAATAAATAACATAGTATACCTTACTTAGAGAACACAGAAACACTAGCTTTTTGCCTTAACTACTGTTGTAGAATTAAATTTCCTTGAAAAACTTTACCTTAGTATAACATACCTATTTTTTTCTCAAATTCTCCCTAAAACATATTTTGACCAAAAGAAAACTATTAAGCTACCCCTGTTGTCTAAAAAGGAGAATGATGTGTGTGATAATTTATGCAACACATTACTGTTTAAAGTGTGTCAAATTAGTAACAATAATTTTCTTATGTTACAACCGAAAACTAAGTTTAAAGAAGACAAAAATAATAAATAAAAAAATAAAATGACACCTGTGACTGTTTATGAATAATACAAAGACAACAACATGCTAAACATAATATGTAGTATGTCTAAAAACTTCGCCACTCTTAATTATCTCATACAACAACCACATATCACCATAGGAAGTAATAAATAACATTAAATCTTCCATAAATGCTGAAAAGGAGACACAATAAGACTATAAAGTAGAAAGTTCAATAACAATCATAATACATAGAGAAGAAAGTTACAACACTAATTAATATGGCAAAGAAAGTTATCACCAAACAGTTATAACGTAATACCTTACTATACAAAGTACAATTATACATCTAATATTAACTATATATAATAACTTAAACTAATGGAAGGTAAAACAAATGGTGATCAATACACTAAGGCAGTCTACTATTACCCAAAACAAAATCACAAAGGATTCAAGTATAAACATTAAAGTTTTAAAAGATTGTGATACTCTGTAAAACTTCTAAGCCATAATCTGTAACAACAACATTATTGAATTTCATACTTAACTGAATGAAAAACCTGCAAAATTTTAACCCCACCTCACCCCATTTTTTCCAGTGCCTGGTGTATAGCTACATATTGGTCAGTGATATCAGAAGGATGCATTAAATTGTAAGGGAGCAACTTAATGTACATTTTTTTTTTCACATACAGCTTTATGCCCACCCCTTTAAATTCCATATATATATATATACACACACACACGCAATAAACCATCAATTAGCTCATACTGAATAGTTGACGTTGTTTAATCAATGTTAAAAAAAAGCCTAAGTCACAGAAGTTTCACTTAATAAAAAAAAAAAGAATGATGTACCATTAAATAGTTTTTTTTACAAAGAAACTGTTGGCAACTCACCCTAATAAAACGAGAGTACCAGACAAAATCCATGTTAAAAAACCAGGAGAAACAACAGTCTCAGTCACAATCCGGGCTGCACAATATGGACAAGTCATCTGCATGGGGTAAGGACCCCACTGAACCATGTTGATCACAGTCACTGAAGCCACAAAAAAGGTGATAGCTTATTAAAAACAGCTTAAGAAAAGTATGTTTTCATTATTTGACTAGCTGCTTATTTGTATGTTAACTTGCATCCCAGCTGACTGAAGTGAAATTATATAAAATCACGAGGCAAAAAAGTGACTATTCATGCAAATAACTAAATAAACTACATATGCTCAACTTTACACATTACTTTTCAATTCTTTTGTGTACCAGTACACACTAAAATACTTTCAGTAACTCCGAGGTTTCAGAAACTATTCTTAATAAGATTAAGAACATTTGCATATTTGTAAATTGAAATCAATATCATGAAAATATTTGAAATTATTGTTAGAACCGTTTTAACAATTAATTTCAAATCCATTTTCCTAGCTTTCAACTTTAAGGACTTTTTGGTTAAACCTTCTGTGTCTTCCCAACTGTGTAATGTAAAATATTAGTGCATACACTATTTAGGTGCTTACCTGCACGCAATGCCATTTGGTACTTGTCTTAAACTGTATTTTGAACGATCCTATCAAATTTTTCATAAAATTTAAAACTTATTTTAATTTTCACTGAATATTTTTAAGTATAACTATGTAACTTATAAAGTACTGGAAAGATTACATGACGGTAGATTAATTAAAATTTGTATTATTATTACCTAAGTAGAGAGCAACAATATGTAAAATAAATTGCATGAAACTTCTATCAATGTCAAATAATTACTCGCTTGGGGTCATTTCTTTTTAATTATGCATTTCTTTGAAGCTTGCAAATTACATTTTTCTCTTAAATAGGTTATGTTGCCAATTTCTTAAATTTTAGTTATTTTTCAATTTTCCTCTGTGCAATTTTGTAATATATTTCTTATAGTTATTCTCAATGGACATTTTGAGCTTCATTGCCTGCTGTTTTTTTTGGGGTTTTTTTATGCTTACAACAACCAGAATTCACACTGTAGAATTGTTTGAAAGATATTATATTCCAGCAGTTGAGTAGAGATATATGGAAGAATTGTTTAACTTTAGAAGAAAGCACCAAACTTTAGGGACACATACTTTAATATATGTAGAATTATATAAAGGCAAGCCCCATTGTAGATCTCAACCCCAAAGTGCTTTTATCAGCATTTGAATTTGACCCCTGCCTAACTGTAAAAAGGTGAGTTTTTATGAAATAAAAATGTGGTGCAAAATGAGCTAGCCAAAAGTCATATATCCTTTCCTACATTGAAAACAACATATGACAAGAAGCATCAGATGTTGAGGTAAAAATCTTGGATGGTATTGGAGTAGTTCACATGTTGCCACCAACAAACTGCAAGATTTTCATGGACTACACCATGTCAATGTTCAAGGGACAAGCTCAGAATGTCAAACGACTTGATGTGGTATAGGACAGGTATGTAGAGGGCAGCTTAAGACAGAGCAAGAGGAGTATTGAGAACATACTATCAACTGAGTCCACCCTTCTAGACTTGATGTGGTATAGGACAGGTATGTAGAGGGCAGCTTAAATCAGAGCAAGAGGAGTATTGAGAACATACCATCAACTGAGTCCACCCTTCTAGACTTGATGTTGTATAGAACAGATATGTAGAGGGCAGCTAAAAACAGAGCAAGAGGAGTATTGTAAACATACCCCCCCCCCCCAACTAAGTCCACCCTTCTAGAACAGACACATATAATTAGGCCGGAGGTACTTAGCCGTGAGGAATGGGGTTGGCAATCAACAACTGGAGGATGGTCACCATGGTGGACAACACTACCAGAGGCATCGAAGTCATGTCAAGAATTGATCCGCTGTGGCTGCAAAAAGGATTGTGGTGGACTGTATATATGTGGTAAAGCCAGCCTTCCCTGTACTGCACTTTGTGTCTGCATTTGAAACCGTAATCAGGAATGAACATTGAGTGCTTAACTTCCTTAAATATAGTTACTTAATTGATGTAAGTATTTATCTCATGTATGCCACATAAACTTGTAAGTAATTGATTATCTGTGAAACCTGATGGAGTTATGAACATTTATTGGATTAAACTTTTTTTTTAAAATTTTGTACAGTTGATGTTCACAATGGAAAACAATAGATGATAATTTGTAGGTGATCAAATAAAAAATATACTGTCAATAAAATAAATTTGCATGTTAACCACACTGCATTTCTTACAATTTAGATAAGACATTAAATAGCTGGACCTAGGGGCAAGATTCAAAGTGGGGCTTGCTTTTATATGATTCCCCATATAAAACTCTAGAAATCCAGAAAGTTTCAGGATTTCTTCCAAATTTGAACAATTTTTAGCTTAACACTGTGACATTTACTATCTAATAAACTTTAAAAAAATTGATAAATTGAAATAAGATTAAACTAAAAAATAATGTTGTTCTTTTTATTCCAAGTAAAGAATAAGGATCATGGTCAGATGTAAAGAGATGGTTACAATTTTGAATGTTTATGATTTATTTCATTCTTAGTCAGATAATTTCTTAGTTTCATGATGAGCAGTAAATAGAATGTAGTTATTGTTAACTGCTTTCAAATTAGATCCTGAATATAAATACTCTCTAACTTAGGGCTAGTGTTATAGAAAAGTTACAAGGAAATTAAATAATAAAACCAACCTTGCCTAGTGGAAGAGGGTCCAATGACCACAGTGGACGATTTAGGTTGATAGCCTGCTCAGTAGGAATATAAAAAAAATGAGAACAAGTACATTTAAAGCAAAAAATTTACAAATATTTACATTTACTATTTCTAACACACAATGAAGCTACTTTTGTAATAATTAAAATTAAACATTAGTAAAATCAGAGCAATGTGGGGAAAAAATTATCATTACAGTAAAGACTGGCTTTATTGGAATTCAAGCTACAGCTTAATAGTTAAGTTTTTTCTAGATTAAGACATCTAGAGAACATTACTATTTATCTTTAAAGAAACCAGGCATATTCACAAAACCATTCATAACATTGTATCATTCTATGGTTTCAAAAATTTAGGAACTGTTTCAAACTATTAAAACTAAAAGAAAAGAAGACTTGCCTTTATGTCTGGCTACTAAGTGAACAAAATATTACTAGGTTATGTTTCTGTTAACTTAAGTGTTTATATATCTATGTATAAACCTGAACAGTTCACTTTCAAAACAACAAATAAATAAGAAACAGAGAAACTTCATATTTTCTATTTAATATTTTTTTGAATGTAAAGTAAAATTCATTATCTAAACGTACAAAAAATTAGACATATAAAAATACAAGTATTAGACTTGGTAAAAAAAAATTAGTAAAATCTATGAACTACAATCTATACTGAAAAATAATGATATTTACACCATGTTTACTCCAATTTTGCTTCTTAGGCCAATTTTAAAACAAGTATTATAAACAATACATGCAATGCAGCAAAGCGTATAAAATGGCAAACTAAACCATCAATCAGCCAAACTGACAAAACACCTGCCATGGGAAAAACTCAAGACACCAGTTGGGGGAGAATGATGAAAATAAGTTCAGTAATGTGCACATTGAGCCCCTGACTTAATGAAAGCAGTATGAGAAAAGAAAATTAAGAACCTGGAAAGCATAAAAAGCAGATGACAGCAATCAGTTTCTGTGTGATCAAACTGCTGAAACAGGTAATGGGAAACCATTGCCCTCGTATACAAGGTAGATTATCAAAAGCCAGCAGATAGTAGTTGTTCGCTCTTGACTAGATATGGCAACATGGACAGTAAAGATCTGGCTTAATAATCATTTTAATGCAATTTCTGTATGTCTCAGTGAACCTGATTGTATATAATAAATTGACTAGATCTGATAAGTATTATAAATCACAGTGGAAGAAACCATAAATCTCAAATGATTAATGTACATTGAATACCAACATTTTTTGCAACATTGATCTTGTTGTGTACATGGTACTATAGTTTACACAGTAACTATAATTTTACAAACTAAATTTACTCATGTATCACAAAAATATTATTAGGTTGCACCATTTGGCAAGTTGATTAGTATTTTTTTATATGGAATATGGTGTTACAGCTGCACTGTTGCAAAGTTATGGCACAGTAAACACTGCTCATACAAAAAATGACAATAACAGAACAATAGTCACTGGTCTTTTTTTTTATAGTCTGTAAGTGCATGAATTTTGGTCAAAAGTATGTTAGGACTTAAGGAATGTATAAAAGCAAGAAGCCATATTGAAACTGGAAGACCACCCACATAAACTTCCAAACATTTCTGAAATAAACAACTATGTGACCCAACTGTTTGCTCAGCTAAAGAAGCAGAGACAAACATCTATGACCAATTGTAAGGATAGAATTAAATACCAAGATGAAAATTTTATGAACAATGCAGGATGGGGTGGAGAAGGTTTTACAATAATAGATCATATAATGAAACTGGGATCAGTACTATGGTATCAAACTTGAAAGTTTGTACAGATAGCACCATGCTGCCAAATGAAGCTTGAACTAGTAATAGCACCACCAAGGATAAGACATCAAGATATGGACAGCTAGGGTATACAAGGATGCTATTCTTGACCATTTCATAGAGCTGTTGGGAAACTTTGGTATTTGAGAGACAGCCATTTTGTTAAAAGCAAACCAATCTGACACTGATGAACCATTCCCATAAGACCAGCAACTTTGATCAAATGTCTATATCCCTTGTAATATGTACAAGGTAACTGGAGGTTAAAACATTTTTTTGTTAAGTCATTAGTACAGTATCTTTATCATGGTTCCCTAGTCGCTAATAAAGCTCCCATATATTTTGATACTAAATATTTTATTATATTTTTTTATGTATTACCATAAATATGAATGTTTTAAACTCAAAACAACATATAATGCTTGTTACAGTCAAATATGCTACATTTATTTACTTCTCCATGTTGCACATTCTGGTCTTGCTTTGAAAATAGTGATGGCCACCTTGACAGAGGTTTCATGTTTGGAAAGTGATATCTCCATGACCAAAAGGCACATCAGAATTTTTTTTCATGCATTTTTCATATTTAAAATTGAAAGAAGTATCATAGCCTCAAATAAAATAACACAATCAGTTAATTTTGAAAAGTCAGTGGAAACATAAAAAAGGAGCCTTTTCTTTTTATTCAGCTATTAGTTCACATGAAACTGTTTTGTTTAGAACTTGACAAATTCCAGATATTTACTGCTGAATTTGCAAATCTCTATATTGATAACTTTAAAACAAATTTACGTTTGGAATGAGGTTTGAAAAAAGGAATGTACCTAAAAAATACAAACTAGTGTTTAAAGTTTAACAAAACACCATACTGCCCCTAATTAACACCCCAAGGGGCACTGCAAACTGCAAAAGGGGAATGGCACTATTTAGAGACTAATTGGGTCATATAATAATATCTCTATTATAAACAAATATATCTATAATAAGTGGTTGCAAGTATAGCTTATTTACTTCTAACTTTTCTATAAACATCAGTGCTCACTATTGCAGTAAATAAGTTAATAATTATTTATAAGTGTTAAAAAATCCTGAGAATCATCTTTGAAGTTTGTTGCCACAGCAAACTATGGAAAAAAAATTGTGGCCTATGTAACATTTATCAGTTACAAGTATCGATTGTTGATCTCTGCGATCAGGGTGGGGTGGGGGTTAATTAGGGGTAATACGGTATGTGTTCTGCAGCATCATCACTATCTGTTTCCATAATAACTACAATGAGTCACTTAGAAGTATAACTGCTATATCTACACTGAAACTTCTTGTGAAAATTTAGTAACTAAGATGCAGGAAGCAACGAAGAGAAAAGTTTTGATGCTAAGAAGATAAAATATGGCTATAAAATTTCTGATACTTTTTTTTTTTACCAAACTTTAACTCAGTTATAACAATATGTATTTGGATATATTGAAATAAAAGCAGCAACAAACTTAAATATTCTACTACACATAATTTAGACAGGACAAGAGATCAGTATACAAAAACATGTGAAATTAAAATCACCAACAATAAAATAACCTACATGAGCACAAATAATTCAGCAGTAATGGTAATTAAATCTGTGGTAGACTCAAAGTAAACCTGAGGTGACAGACATGTTAGTATACACATATATAAAAAGTATAATGAACAAAGTTAACCAACACTATGGCTTTATTGAATTATCCATACAAGTTTTTTTCCTACCTCCAGTATATTCCTCAGGAGAATGGCTATAAGGTGGGGGAGGATCTGCATAAGGCCCTGTTGGTTTCTGTACCTCCATTTTCCTTCAGAATTGTCAACTATAAAGAAAAAATTGAAAAACAGTAATTAGATAGAAATATATGTAATAGCTTATTTCTATTGCTTGAGCACAACTACTGCAGTGTTACCTTGGAAAGCTGAGATCATCCTAGTTTTCACCAATGTGTTTATGTTAAGGCTGGTAACCATGAAATTGTCAAACCAATCTAGTTTTACTGCTATTTCAGAATGCCATAGTACATGGTTCCTTTAAAAGTTTATTTTGGACTATCTCTTGACAAAGGCAGATAACATGATACGTGCATCTTTTCTCCACCCTGATTGCCAAACTACAACAATCAAAGTAATATCACAATAATTTAAAATGTGTCATTGGAGAGTTAGAGACAGTGTCACATGTATAGGTGGGGCAGCTATCCAAGCTGCCCCAAGTAGCTTGCCTAACCCAACTTTTGAAAGGTCTCTTCCTGAGATAAAAAACATTCATACTTATTGTGACCACATGCTGATACTCATTATTTATAAGATATTAAAAGTTAAGAGTTTAAGGAACCAAGGACTTACCTGATAAACAGTAGCTCTCAAAAGACCTATCTGTGAACATGACATGCAAGGCAATATTTGAGGCCTCCTAGACATCACAACTAGAGGCCACTCATACTCCTACACACACATACATACATACATACCCTTGTTCTTATATTATATAAAACAAATGGAAACATGGTTTTATTTTATTTATGTTATAATTTAGTGTATTATTTGATTTGCATAACATCATTAGAGCTGGGCTGTATTGGGAAGCAAATTTATTCTTGCCTCATGATCTTCATATGCCTATGTATGACACTGGTCTGAGAACCCACCTACAAACTAGCAAAAGGCATTCCAGTCATACCATAAAGCAAGCTTTCTGAGTAGTTCTGCAGTGTACACAAATACACCAAGTTTTTTGAAGAGAAAAAAAAGAATGATTAAACTGGCATCCTATCCAGCTTGTGGCCATCTACTGTAATGAACCAGTAAGAAACTTTTAAGTTTTATTCTTAAGAAACAGAAGTCAATAAAGTTCTGAAAGGAACTGTGTAAATGTATATAACATAACAAACAAACAAGGCTGATTTAAGGTTGTTCTTGGACACCTCCCTTGACAAAAGCAAATATTCAAACCCAAGAAATATTTAATTTCCTCTTAAATTACTGTGATTTAAAGAGTTGGTCTCTTGTGCTTTTAAAATGATCTCACACAATATGTCAGTTACTCTATTGGAAAAACCAATCTTAAATGAAATCTAGCCTGTATTTTCCAAATTTTACACTAATAATTGACCTTTCATCCTATTACCTCTATAACAAAGTATAAAAAAATCAGAGGCCTTTAATTATATTACTGATCCTCTAGATAATCCTGTAAGCTCCACTAGGATTACTTTTTCCCCTTCTTTTCTCAAGACAAAATAAGAAATATTACACAATCTCTCTAGATAATGTTTTCATCCCAAGAATTATCCTAGTAGCTTGGAAAAGAATATAAAACCACACACAGTATTCCAAGTGAGGTCTATCTGGTGATTTGAATAGATACTTACCTTTCTTTTGACTTCTAATCAATACATCATAAATACACCCTAGCTATAAAGCAATGCTTCAATGGCTTGAGTGATCTATTTACCACTATTCAAAGATCCTTTTCATCAGTCATATTTCCATCTAAATTGTTTGGAAACCATTCAGGTTATTCTTCTTCACCAATTGGTCAGGAAACATACTAGGAATAATTATTGTTTAGGTTTATGGTTAATTTCTAATACAGAAATGACTGATCGGGTGGATATTGGGGAACATCTGGGTGCAAGTATTCATTGCTCTGTTATATTTCACATTTTATTGCAAATGGGGGATCAGGAATAACTAGATTTTGGTTACTAATTTCAAAAAGGCAAGTTATGAAGGGATGCAACAATTTTTTTTTTTTGTGAAATGAGCAGCAGAATTAATTGGAAACACTCATCAAATGTGGAAATTTAAAAAAATAAATCAAGTATTCAACATAGACATGTTCCTTACTGAAAACAAAAATAAGTAGCTGCAAGGAAAACAACGAAGTTGGCTCACAAAAGGTTTATATAAGGGATAAAGTTAAAGAAAGCAGCATAACTTTAAGATTAAATTGACTGCTATGATGGGAGACTTAGAGGATTATAATAGATCAAGAGAGTTAGTTGGTCAAACAGGATATTAGAAAACCAAAATGGACATAGGAAAAAAGGTTGGCTAAAAATATAAATATTAACAGCAAGGATTTTTTTAAATACATAAAGGGGTAAGCAAAACGTTAGGATAGGAGTAGAGTCTTAGAGGAATGATAAAGGAAGGCTCATATCTCACGATTTTGACTGATGTTTATGCAATATTCCATGTCCTAAACAGTTGCTAGGTGGAATCGCAATAAAAAAAAAAATTATCACATTAATTCTAATCATGTAGAAAAAAATTGGGAAGTTTAAAGAATAATAAGGCTCTTGGATTAGATAACATTTTCCAAAGGGCTTTAGATGAAGGATAAGGATTGGATATGTGAGCCACATAGTACTATATTTTGTAAATTCATAAATAGTGGGCAGGAGACAGAAAACTGGAAGTTGGCCAATGTTATTCCTCTTTACAAAGGTGATAATAAACAATATACCAGTAATTACAGGCCTATCAGTCTTAGATCAATGGTGGGAAATATTTTGAAAGTGTGATAAAAGATACTTTGCAAAATCATTTAACAAAGTTTAAACATTTTAAGAATCAACATGGTTTCACAAGAGAAAAATATTGCCTTATTAATCTTTTCCCAATTCTTAGAATAGACATCTCATTAGATAGATGAGGGTAAGGGTGTGGATTTGGTGTATCTGCATTTCCAGAAAGCATTTGAAAAGGTGCCACATAAAAAGGCTTGTAAAATAATTACCTCTATAGGTGTGGGGGATAAGTTAGCTAATTGGCTGGATGGAAGAAAGCAGAGGATTGTTATAAATGGAGTTCAGTCAAATTGGATTAATGTCATAAGTGGGATAACTCGAGGCTCAATGTTAGGACCTTTGCTCTTTTTGATTTATACAAAGCTGAAGGAATGGTCAATAAATTACTTACATCTGCTGATGATATTAAGGATTTGTGTGTTGCTGGTTGTGAGGATGAGGATGCTTTCAAAAGGATTTAAACCATTTGGTGAGTTTGGCAAATAAATGCCAGATGACTTTTAATTGTAAGAAATGTAAAGTAAGGTATGTGGATCATCATATATAATTTGAATTATAAAAATAATTTGCAGTGTTATGGAAGAAAAATATCTTAGTGTTCTGATTGATCAATCTCTTAAGCCATCTAAGCAGTGTGCTGTTTCTAGTGATAGGGAAAATAAGATTTTAGACTGTATATACAAAAATATTGAATACACATTTAAGAGATTATAATTTCATTGTATAGGTCAGTAGTTAGGCCACATTTGGAGTACTATGTTAAGTCTTGGGCTCCTTACCTTAGAAAGCATATTGAACCATTGTAAAAGGTTCAGAGGTAGATTACTGGAATGATATTTGGGATACAAAGGTTATCATACAAAGATATATAAAGATCTCTGTAACTTTTTTTTTCTTAAAAAAAAAGTTAGAAAGGTTTGATTGAAGTGTTTGAGATTTTTAAGGGAATTGATAATGATGTCAATATATCATCTTTTTCATGTTTAATGGTGAGAATGGTAGGACTAGAGAACACAAATATAAATCATAATTTCAGTTAAAATAGTTTCATTTTTCTAAAAGTGTAATTGGCCCTTGGAATTAATTGCTTTCATATGTGGTGGAAACAGTAAATCTAATGTAGATTAAGGAAAAGCTTGATAAATACTTGAAGGCTAAGGGCTGGCTTTGTTTTGTTTTTTATAGTTAAGTGGATGGAACAGCTTAAATGGACCAACAGTGACCTGATTGTCCTTAAATGTTAAATTATATATTGGCACAAATTATGACAACTCAAATGCATTACCTACACTCTGTGAGAAACCAATTTAGCTTTAAATGTTATATCAGATGTGGATGTCTATTGGCAACGAATCATCCATACATATCACTCATTACCACTATCATACATAAATCACATAATCATTTAATATTTAGCTTAAGATAATTTTTTTCTTCAAATGCCTAAGCCAGTAATTGAAGTTAAACTGTCATATCTCAACAGTCATTTGACTGACACTGATCTTAAAAGCCTTAATCCTATTCAATATAAGGTTTATTGTAGACGTTATTTACAGAAATATGTAAAGTATTGTAAACATGTGATGGGGTGCAACATATAAATATTTGAGGAGATATAGAAAAGAAATGGGAGTCTACATAACACTATTTTCACAATTCCGCATTTATGCCACATGTTCAATTTATATGAATTGTCTTGTTATGTATAATGTTTAAATAAATGGTTTCCAGAAACCCTCCAACTATATAGTGTTGAGCTAGTCAGAGCAAATGTTGAAGCCCTAGTTTCATGTGAATCATCACACTGGCACCCATCATGGGCTAGACCTCTAGAAGGTTTATTACTTGCTTGTACAATGCAAAATAAATGCCTTTTTTTTTGCCATCTTGTTCACACTTGTGAAGGGGATTGTTATACTTCTACTAGTGTTGTAGCAATTCATCATGGGATGTAGAGTTGCCTCTTTTTCTTTACATCTGTGTAACCTGCAGTTCAACACTCTTCTTAGTCTGGCTTTTGTTTAGCAGTGGTCTTGCCATCCAAAATTTTTTCAAGAAGTTTTGCTATTCCCCAATGCATAAAATATATATATATATATTTTCTTCTTTTCATTAATGTGAAATTCATAACTGTATCTCCTCTCTGAAAATCACCTCATGTATTAAACATTAGAGGTGAATTATAAATAGACTTAACTACTGAAGAGCTGTCATTAGCATCTGGGGACAACCTGTTTATCATGTTTTTGTTATTGCAAAATGTTGAAAATCTGTATTAATTTTGCCAACTTATTTTTTTACATATTTTCATCTTTTCTAAATTATTGAAATTTCATGGTAATTACATTTAACAACTTGGATTTGTTAGATCTTATTGTACATTAATTCACTGTTTAGTAATCTAGCTTAAATTCACAATATTATACACACTTATATTTTACATATTTTATAACAGTGATCACTATATTATTCTTTTCTAGAACATTTGTTCACTATGAATTCACTATTTGCTAAAAATATTGATGATTGGCTTTTGTCCTTAAAAAGAAAACAAAAAAATGGGAAAACAAGTAATGTTGAATAAATGTCAAAATTTTCTGTGTAAATTAACCTTCAGTTGACATTTTTTGAGGGTATAGAGACTAATAGACAAACTCTTGGTTATTTAAATGCTTTCAACAAATAAACTCTTAAGTCTTCAGAGGGAAATATAACATTATAAGAGATGATACAAGCCCCTAAGAAATCAAAACATGAACCCAAGGTACTTAACCTGATTCCTTTCCAATGACTAAACAGATATGGTGAGTATAAGTTAATGTTTCATCTCAGTGATCATAACACGTTAACATAAAATTCAAGAACAAGAGATTTATTGGTCCATCTATGCTATTCTATCCCCCAAACTATAACTTTATATTTTTTAAGCCAGCCCTTATCATTTAAATATTTATCAGACTGCTTAAATTTACTCTATCCACCACAATCTGAAGACAACCCATTCAAAAGGCCAATCACCCTGTTACAAAAATAAAACTGTCTTAACAGAAGATGACTCCAATTCTGACAAAATTTATACTTGCATCCCACAGTCCTACCATTCTAATCATTAAGTGTGAAAAACAGATGCATCAACATCATCAATTTTTGCTTACAACCTTAAACACCTCAATCAGTTCCCCACTTAAATTTTCTTTTTCAAAAGAAAATTTCAGAGATCTTAATCTATCCTTGTATGACAACCTTTCTCTGAACCCTTTCCAAAAATTCATTGTCCTTCCTAAGATAAGGAGCCCAAATTTGAACACAGTACTCAAAATGAGACCTAACTAGTGACCTATACAATGAAATTATAACCTCTTGAGAAATATTCTAACGTTTTTAAAAATTCCAGTGGATATAGAGTATGAAATTACATATTGCTACATGGAAATAGTTTGAAAAAAAATCCTCACTAGCATATTCTTGTTCAGTTTGTCTTGTACATTGTTAAGTTTTTCAACAGTTAGCTCAGTTAAATGTAAGTGGTTTTTTAACATTCTCTTCTAGTGAAAAATATATTTTTTTGTTCTAAAATGCATATTTGAAAAGTACATTAATTTTTGTATGGACATTAACTTCAATAAAACTAGGCCCATACAGCTACATGTTTGAGTGCACATATTTCACACAGCACAATACAGCAGGATATGAGAATCTGCTAATATGTTTCTGTTGGGTTCACAAATGAATAACCTGCTTACATAGTACATGGCAGCTGTGTAATAAAGCCATGAAATTAAAAGAAAATAGATATGAAAAAGCTAACTATCAAAATTATAAATCTTACTATAATAGACTTAGTGTGTATATCAGTATCTATGTATGTAACCAAAACTCCTGCACCATCTATTGAATAGCACCACAAACAAAAATCTATAAAAAATTTCATACTTTGGGTATTTAAAATTCACACAATTCAAAAAAAAGTGCAACAATCATTTCTTTATTGCAGAACAGAATTTAAAAAAACGTACTCTCCTCACAACAAGAACATGACTTTCACTAGGACTGTACATGAAAGTATGATTATATCTTTATTGATGTAATTTTTAAATGTAATATTGAAAAACTGGAATTCTTAAAACTATTATTTTTTCAATAAATGGTACCATTTTAATATATAAAAACATTACAATTTATGTCAGTATAATTTATGAAAATTTTGAGTTCTGTACATTGAATAATTTTGAAGTGATGAGTTGCATATGACTAAAGAGCCCAATCTGAACACTTTTCCCATGCAGTACTTCCCAGAAAAAAATCCCCTTTTAGAAAATGTTCACTTTTTCTAAATTTTTTAAAATGAGATATGAATATTACGATTAAACAAACACCAGCCCATAGGGCAGCGTTTCTGCTAGTATCAACAATTGGAGATATGACAATCAATTGTGCATTCAAGAAATTAAAAAAAGGTAATGTTAATTTTATATCATAGCTTTCAACTTTTCATTTCAGTGTTCATTGACGATTTTGCTACAGTAAGTGTTAGAGTAGAGAAAATAACAGATAAAATATAAAGTTTTTACCTAGAAAAAAACTTCTGATATTTATTTAGAAGATTTTTGTGGTTATACAAATTCAATATGAAAACTTTAAGATGTAAAGAAGTATTTTCATTCTTAGCATACAAATTACTCTGCACTCATATTAACTCAGTAGAGGCATTGGAAATTTATAAACAAGTTTTTTGTACAAATACTTCATTAAAAACGTGTATTATTTGTTTACATCTTTGTAATGTTTATTAAAAGATTGCCAAATTTCATGCAAGTACATTTATTAAATTCAAAATTCTAGTATGTATAACTAGTATGGTTTTACAAGATCGATCAAACTGACCAATCCATTGGCATAGGCCAAACTCAAGCAAATGATCAGAATACTTTTCTATTCATACATAACATTTTTGCCTAACTAAAGATGCAAGCTAAATTGATAACTTTTAGCCTAACTAAAGATGCTAGACTAATTGATGATAAAATACAGCATTCCATACAACAAGAAAAATTAAATCCTTTTTTGCAACACACTCAACATTTTTTTTTATCTTCTCATATACATGATACAAATTGTGTTAACTTGTTTCAACTGCATTATTAGTATTTTCTTCACTTT